CTTCCTCATTTTTCTTTTGTCTTCCAAGGCTGGACTAGTTGGCTGGGAAGAGTGGCTGGATATTCAGGTGAGGGTCCAGTGACCCTGCTTGGCACTCTTTTAATAAATGAGCACAACCGTCAACAAACCCAATTGTGATTATGTTTAGTGATCAGGCTCAGCCGAAGTTGTGATGATGGTAGTTATTTCAGGAGCAATTTTTTTAAAGATTTTTTTAAATGTATGTTTTTTATTGAATTTTGCATTTCATACAAAACAGCTTAGTCCTCTTTATGCTGTCTCCCCATCTGCACCCTACCATAGTCCCCCCCATTGGAGTTCATGCATTTTGTCTTATGTTGAGTCAAGTTGGTGTACCCAGACATCCCTCAGTGAGTAAGAGTTTTCACTGGAGTAAGAGTTTTAAAAGCATATGTTTGGTTCCGTTTCTTCTATTTCTCCCACAAAGCCTCAACCTGCCATTGGGCCACAAGGGACTATGTGCTTGCTAGCAGAAGGTGACACAGTTACAAAAAGTGGGGTATCACCTTGAGAACTGAAACAACCCTGTCTTCTCACCTGTCTTTCCATTCACTACTCACTGTCAGTGTATCACAAAGCTCAAAATTCACTCCAAGATGCTCCAAGTCTATACATTTCTCTCTATTTCTACACTGTCTTAGCCCAGTAAGAATCTTGGGCTTTTGTGTTTCTGTCTTAGACCAGTCAACATCTGAGAAATATCTATTGAATGAGCAAGAGTGAGAGAGAGAAAAAGAGAGAGAGAAATTAACATTTTTAAAAGCTATAGTATACAGTAACAATTTACAAATTCAATGCCCATCAAAATTCCAGTGATAATGCCAGGCATGGTGGTGTACACCTTTAATCCCAGCTCATGAGGCACAGACAGGTGAATCTCTGTGAGAGCTCCCTGGTCTACGTAGGGAGTTCCAGGCCAGCTGAGTGACAGGGAGACCCTGTCTCAAAAACATTCCAATGATACTCTTCACAGAAATAGGGAAAAAAATCCTAAAATTCATGAGGAAGAACAAAGACAAAATTGAGAAAGCAGAGGTGGAGGGAGCACCCGCCATGCTGGGTTTCAAACCACACTGCAGAACTGCAGTGACAGAAGCAACAGACGGAGACCAAGGGGATAAAGTCGAGGCTGCAGAAAAGAATGCCGCAGAGCTGCAGTCATCTGACCTTTCATCAAGGTGTCAGAAACATACGTTGGAGAAACTGGATATCCACATGTAGAAGAATGAAACTAGTTTCATCTCTATCTCTTATATTGTCCAAAAACCAATGAAAGGCAGATCAAAGACCTTGCTGTAAGACCAGAAACTTTGAAATACCGGAAGAAAGCAGGAGAAACAGGCTCACAAGACCCGCGAGCAGTGACCAGAGCTGTATGTGTTGTATTGAGAATCGCCAAGAGCAGAGGTTTCAATGTCCTCATCACCAAAGATAGGAATGTGTGTTGCAACACATGTGCTGTCTTATTTAGCCATTTTCTTAAAAAAAATTTATTATTTTTATTTTATGTGTATGAGTGTTATGCCTGCATGAAAGTAAGTGCACCCATGTCGTGCAATGCCCGCAGAGGACAGAAGAGGCCATTGGATCCCCTGGAACTGGAGTTATGGGCAGCTGTTAGCCGCCATGTGGGTGCTGGGATTCAAACCCGGGTCTTCTGCAAGAGCAGCCAGTGTCCTCACCCGCTGAGCCATCTCTCCAGCCCTATTTAGCCATTTTTATTTGTCAATTCAAACAGTAATTTAAAAAGAACCTTTTGTTGGAGTCACAAGGCTGGAGAGAGCAGGAGCACATGGCGGTTCTCTGTGTTACCTGCACCCCCCAAAATCTCAAAATTCTAAAAAAACTTTTATTAACTAAACAAAATAAGCTTTAGTAAACAAAACAGCATGGCGCTGGCATAAGAACAGACACACCAATGGACATACAGAATTAGACAGCCCATAAATAAACCCACACATTTATGCTTATCAGCAATATGCCAAGAATACACAATGGGAGAAAGAACATTTTCTTCCCTCCCTCCCTCCCTCCCTTCCTTCCTTCCTTCCTTCCTTCCTCCCTTCCTTTCTCTCTCCCCCTTTCTCTCTCTCTCTTTCTTTCTGTGTGTGCCATAGCATGTACGTGGAGGTCAGAGGTCAATTTTCAGGAGTCACTTCTCTTCTTCCATCATTGCCACAGTCAAACTCAGGAAATCAGGCTTGGCGGCAAGCACCTTTATCCACTGAGCCATCTCACCAGCCCAGGACAGTCTCTTTAATAAACGGTTTTGGGAAACTGCATATCCATTGTTTAAAAAATGAAATTGGACCTTTACATCACATACATATGTATTATATATGAAATAATACGGTTTCTCCTGCATTATGTATATAATACATATATGTGTGGTTTTATATATTTATATACAAAAATCAATTCAAAATGTATTAAAGGAAACCATAAGAAATTGTATGGTCTGAAACAATAGAATTTCTAGAAAAAAAGCATGAAGGAAGAACTTGGTGACATTGGTCTAGGTGATAAATTTTTGTATATGATCCCAAAAGCACAGGAATGAACGCAAAGATTAACGAATGAGATCAAATTAAAAGGCTTTGCACAGCAAAGAAAATACTTAACCAAGAGACCTATGTATTAGGAGAAAATATCATACATCTGATAAGGGTTTAGTATAAAATATCCAAGAGGAACTAAAAAAACCCAGTAGTGAGTAAGTGAATGAGCGAGAGAGAGAGAGAGAGAGAGAGAGAGAGAGAGAGAGAGAGAGACTTCAACTGACAAAGGACTCAACATTTCTCAAAAGAAGATGCAAAAATAGCCAAAGTGTATTTTTTAAAAATTCCACATTTATCACTAGGGAAAGCAAATTCAAAGAACAATGAGACATCACCTCACACATAGTAGAATGGTTATTAGCCAAAAGACTAAAGACTAAATGTAGGTGATGATATGGAGAAAAGGGAATGCTTGCACTCTGTGATTGAGATTGTAAATCAGTATACCCACTATGTAAAACAGTATTAAAGTTTCTCAAAAAGTGAAAAACAAGGCTGAATGTGGCAGTGCACTCCTTTAATCCCAGTACTGGAGAGACAGAGGCAGGTGGAACTCTGGGAGTTCCAGACCAGCCTGTCTACATAGTGAGTTCCAGGCCAGCTAGGGTTACACAGTGGACCCTGTCTCAAAAAAAAAAAAAAAAGGAAGTACCATAACACTGCCTAATTTCACATATGTGGAATCTATAAATCTATAAAATGAACTCATAGAAGCAGTGAGCAAAATGGTGGTTACCATTTGCCAAGAGTGGGAGAGGAATGAAGAGACATTGGACAGAGGGAACCGAGTTTCAGCTGGACATTGGACAGCATGATGACCATGATCCATTGGACAGCATGATGACCACAGTTAATAAGGCAGCAGCCAGGCATGTATTGCACACCTTTTACCTCAGCACTCCAGAGGCACTCCAGAGGCAGAGGCACTCAGATCTCTGTGAGATTGAGGCCAACCTGGTCTACATAGTGAGCTCCAGGCCCGCTGGGGCTACAGGAAGAGCCTGTCTCAATAATAATATTAAATAATAATAATGTAATTTTTAAATGTTCACACCATAAAAACGAGTGTGGGAGATGAATAGCTTGATGTGCATAGGTATCAAGATATCATATCACCAACACACAAGCACACACAGATACACATACATGCACACATGAACACATATACAGACTTACATACACACACATAACATGCACACAGAGAGAGAGAGAGAGAGAGAGAGAGAGAGAGAGAGAGAGACCCAATGGACTGTCTAATTTTGGAGGGGTTGGTTTGAGACAGGGTCTCCCTGTAGCCCCAGCTGGCCTGGAACTCACTATATAGACCAGGCTGGCCTCAAACTCACAGAGATCCACTTGCCTCTGCTTCTGGAGTGCTGGGATTAAAGGTGTGTGCCACCATGCGTGGCATGAAAGAGCTCATCTTCTAATGTACCCTCTGTACCCCCTCCAACCCACTCCCCATGCTATATCCAGAGGGATGAGAGTCAGTTTTGATCACCAGGGGCCTTGCCTGAAATTCTTTTGGTGACTATCTTTTTAGATTTTATTTTTACTTTTTAAAAAAGTGCATGAGTGTTTTACCTGCATATATGCAAGTGTATCATGTGCATGCCTGGCACCCAGAGGCCAGAAGGGGGCACTGGATCCCTTGGAACTGGAGTTATGGATGGGTAATGCTAGGAGCTGAACCTGGGACCTCTGTAAGAGCAACCAGTGCTCTTAACCATTGAGCCATCTCTCTAGTGCCTCTTTGGATGACTTCTTACTCCTAAGATGACCGTGTCTACTTGTGATTGGTCCTGGGTCCTCTTCACTCTCTGAGCTGCAGGCATTCAGCTGAGGTTCTTTCCTGCTTCCTTGCAGCCTGTCTTCTCGTTGTCTCCCTGTTCTTCCTCCCTATGTTGCCAGATCTCAGATCCAGTGCACTTCTCCAGGGAGAGCCACCTTTGCTCTGTGCCACCCGCCCTCTGCCCCTGAGCCCCGCTGGGACTTGGTGCTTACTTCCCTTGCTCTAGTTAGCCCACCATTTCATTCACATCTGTCTTCCAGCCAGTCTCAGGAGGGCGGGGTCTGGGCTTGCCTATTCACGTGCCACAACTGTCCAGCACAGAACCTAGCATCTGGCTCAATAAATATAGTTGTGCTGTTATGATGAAGCCAAGAAGAGCTGGAACTCATTCCTGGTCCGTGCATAGCAATCCTCACTGAATGGGAAAGGGAGCTGGGAGATACCAGGGAGATCATTTCAGGGCACAACAGCTAAAAGTACTAGAGCAACTAGCCTTGCCCTGATTGGCCCCAGTGCCATCTTGCTGCCAATTGTGTTCTCTAGCATATAGCTTATAAATGGAAAATAGCCTGGACCACCACGAGCTTCTGCATTGCCAGAACTAGCCAAAGAAAGGGGAAAAGCAAGGCTATGTCATGTTTCATTTCAGTGACGTTAGTGAAGGAAGAGATTCTGGGATGTTGAGAATGAAAAATGACTCATGAGTTCTTTCATGTCTACAGCTTTGACACACCCTCAAAGCCTCTTCTTTCTTGGGATATAACTTGCTTTTATGGATCTGAAGATGTTATAAAGAATATAGAAGGTAAAATGATTTTTATACTTTTAGGTATTTTATTGAAATATGTGTCTGATGGTTCTCAGCAAATGTCAGTTAATAGTCATTGGAATGAGTCAAAAATCGGTCTATTTGGTATAAATGAAGAGATGCTGGTCTCATGTAAACAGGTCAAAAGTCATACCATTGTATACTCATAGGTCTTAGGGAGATTAAAACTACAGGACACACAGAACTTGAGATGGTGGATGTAACTCCACCATGGGGTGTCAGCTTAATGTGAAATAATACCTGGAACTTAGTCTTTTCTTTTTCTTGGGAAATGTCATTTGCTATTAAATACAATTTTATTTTTTAGGATGGAAAGATGTAACCAGTGGAAAGCTCGATGTTCATATTTTGCCTGGAGATCACTTTTATCTGATGGAACCTAACAACGAGGCCTTCATCAAGAACTACATAAGCAAGTGTTTAGAACTAACATCACTTGCCAGCTATTAGATAGTCTTCCTTTTCACTTTGTGTGCTCAAAATGATCACATGCTGTTCTTCTGGGTCATGGTGACATAGCTCTTTAGCATTATTTAGAGAGTGGAAATTATACATTCTCTACTTTCAGGGTGATCTGTTACATAATAATGCATTTCTTTGTGGAACATTTATTTTTGGGGAAAAGATATAGGAAAGAATACTTCAGCAAGGGAGCCCCATCCCTAGCTGGCAGCTGATAGTTGCTGGGGATTCTCTGGGGATGCAGCACTGGTATGTTTCCACACTCCAGTGGATGGCCCCACACCCATGCTCATGGAGATAGCACTAATTGGACTCAGTGGGTGATAAAAAATCAGGCATGAAGTTTGGAGGGGGATGTGTTGGGGGGAGTCCAGGGAGCATTGGAGTGGGGGAGTGGGAGGTAGATCTGATGAAAACACATCGTATACATGTATGAAATCCTCAAAGAATAAATTTAAAATGTTCCTAAGAAAAAGAACGCTAGGCAGAGGGATGTGTAGGGGGATCCAGGAACAATGGAAAGGGGTTGCTGGGGGCAGATATGATCAAGATACATCGTATACATGTATGAAATTGTCAACAAATAAAAATATTACTTAAAACACTTTTGATAGAGTCCTTTATCTTTGTAATAGAATCTGATTTGATTTTCATTTATAGAAATTTTGTTGGCAAAGTGCCTTCACACTGCCTTGGACACCTGTGGCCCCTATTTTAATGATAAAATGATTGACAGGAAAACAAAAGAATGACAGGAGAAATGCTGTAAATCATTTTGCCAACACCAGTGACAGTAAGATTATAGGCTCAATCTTATTTTAGAAATACACATTACTCCTTTTTCATAAGGAAATGTAATTACTGCTTTATTAAAAGGTAGCCCTAGAGGACTGAGGAGATGGCTTAGTGGTTAAGCATTTGTCTTGCAAGTATGAAGACTGCAGTACGGATCCCCACAACACACACAAATGCAGGGTGGGTGTGATGATTCACCTGTAATTCCAGCCTTGGAAGTCAGAGAAGGATCCCAAGAACAAGCTGACTAGCAAGACCTGTGAGCTCTGGGTTTGAAAGAGAGATCCTACCTCCATGAAGAAGGTGAAGGAGTACTGGAGGATGATTCCCTAGACATCAATTTTGGGTTTCCACATGCTCACACATGCAGGTCCATACACCTGCAAAACGTTCACACAAAACACACACACACACACACACACACACACACACAGAGACATATCACACATACACACCACACACACACACAATGGGGAAATAAAAGACAGTTACTATCATCTGTACTAGTAAGACATCAGAATGCCTACTACCTCAGACCTCTTTCTGTGGTCTGGGTACCCTGGCAATGACTGGGTAAGCCCTTCCATGGACAGTCACACTACAGTCTGGCCTACGGGATATGGACTTGCTCCAGCACCAGTACCATGTGCACAGACTACCTCAGCCTCACTCTGTGATAACTTGAACTTGACACACAATTGGAAAGACCAGGAACCAAGAGAAGGAAAGCAGAGAAAGTGAGCTACGTCCTTTCAACGGCCGAGCACTGCACATGGCGTTGGGTGTGAACCACTGTGTCCCAGGGGCTGAACTCCATTAATTCCCTATCCATGCTTAGCTCTTCAGGGCCTGACTACAGCAATCAGATCTGAATTTCCTTCAGACGATTTCTGCATTTCTTCACAATAAACTCCATTCTGTGCCTGAATTTCCCAGACCTGGACTACTAGACACTAGATTGGCCATTGCTGTTCTTCTATTTGAAGGTAGCAGCCTGTGTTAGTTACTTTGAGTAGCTGAGACCAAAGTACCTAAGAGACGAACTTGAAGGAGGAAAAAATTATTTGTTTTGGCTCATGGTTTCAGAGGGTTCAGTATGTGGTTGCTTGGTCCCATGCACTTTGACAGAACATTACAACAGGGAAAGCAGGTAGCAGAGGAGGCGTTTCACCTCATGGAGGACAGGAAGCAGACAGAAAGGGACTGAGACACTATAACTTTCAAATGTATGCTCTCAGTGGCCTACTCCCTCCAACTAGGCCCATTTCCTAAAGTTCCCATCACTTTCCAAAACAGCACCACCATGTGGGGACCAAGTCATCAACACATGAGCCTGTGGGGGGCATTTCAGATTCAAAACACAATAGAGCTGGAGCGATGGCTTAGCTGTAAGAGCACTAACTGTTCTTGCAGAGAACCTGGGCTCAGTTCCCAGCACCCACATGACACCTAACAACTGTCCTTACCTTCAGTTCCAGGGAATCCAACACCTTCTCCTGTCCTCTGCAGACATTGCATGCACCATGGTGTACTTACATATATGCAGGCAAAACATTCATACACATAAAATAAAAATAAATAAATCAAAACACTCACTGTGGAAAATTTCTGACAACCTTTAGGCAAAACTTAATAACGGTGAGATCACCCTTGCCTTCCAAAATTCTATCAATGAGAAATCAACTTTTACTATTATTTATTTATTTAAATTTTTGGATGATTTTATTTTATGTGTATGATTGTTTTGCTTGCATATATGTAGTGCACCTGTGTCATGCAATGCCCTTGGAGGTCAGAAGAGGGTGTCAGAGCCCCTACAACTGAAGGTAAGGATGGTTGTTAGCCATCATGTGGGTGCTGGGAACTGAACCTGGGTCCTCTGCAAGAGCAGCTAGTGCTTTTAGCCACTGAACCAAATCTCCAGCTTTGATCTTGAGTTTTTAAAATTAAACTTTTTGAGATACCTGTAGATTGCATGTAGTTGTAAGAAATAGCACAAAGATCTTATATAGCCTTTAACCCAATTTCTTCTTCTGGTAACACTGTGCAAAACTATAATGTAACATCACAACCAGGACACCTATGTTGTCAGTCAGGATATGATTATTCCAGAACCCTAGAATGTCTCTTGCTGTTCCATTCCTCTCTGGCAACCACTATTTTGTCCTTTATGCCTATAATTCTATCATTTCAAAAATGGTAATAAGTAGAATCATATAGCACTATTATGGTTTGGAGCTTTAATTTCCCATAGGTCATGTATTGAAGGATTGGGACATGGTAGAACCTTTAGGAGGTGTGGCCTCTTGGGAGGAACTTAGGTCATTGGAGGCATGCCCTGGAAGGCATACTGGACTATACCACCTCCTCTCAGTGTATCCCATGAAAGATGTGGTACACATACCTGCTCTCAATACACTACCTGCTCTTGAAACAGGCCCAAAGGACAGGGCCAAGTGATCATGGACTGAAACCTCTAAAACTGAGCCCAAACCCTTTTTCCTTAATTTGTATACCGCAGGTATTCTGTCTCAGCAAAGGAATGCACTGAGTTTAGAAAGCAGTAAAATTTGGAATTGACTTTTTGCATTCAGCAAGATATCCTGGAGATTCATCTAAGAGATCTAGAGGTCTTTTCTTCTTTAATGATGTCAATCTATCCCTCTGGTAATTCTATGCCAATGCTGAACTTAAAACACAGGGAACAAAAATATATGCTTTTGAAGGATCCTTATCCTGTGTGGTCTCAAACAGGTTTTGAAACTTTTAAAATGGGACTATCTCCCTCTAAGAGCCTGTGAACCAGCAAGAAAGACTGAGTCTTGAGTCGGTATTATATTACAGACCCTACATCTTTCACTCTGATACAACTAAATACTAGAAGCACAGTACTAGCAGTTTATCACTAAATATAGATTGGATTCTTCCTTTGTCTGAAATGTTAAAAATTTCTCAAACAGACATTTCCATGGTGTTTATTTTCTTTCTTGTTTGAGCTATAGACAAGACTCATAAATCTCCTATTTTTCTTGTGGTTCTGGGGATGGAACCCAGTGCCTGGTATATGCTAGACAAGTGCACCTCTACCAAACAGCATCAAAACCCCATAAAGTTCTTTTTTTAAAAGACTCAACACTTCCAACTTGCTGTGTTTTTTCCAGTGCTTTCTTTATATGAGGGTAAGATGATTATTGTTGCTGTTCAGTCTTCACAAGAACCCTGTGGCAGTGATATTTTCCTTCCTCTATACGTGAGGCTTAGCAAGGTTAAGGAACTTGCCCACATCACTGAGAAAGTCCAGGTGTGGACCAGACCTAAGTCTATCTGTCATTCCACAGTCCCCACATTTGTGTGAGCCCAGATGTGTAACAAAGGAATTGTCTTGCTATTTGTCAAGCCAACCTTCTTCCTTCCCTCCCTTCCTTCCTTCCTCCTTCCTTCCTCCTTCCTTCCTTCCGCCTTCCTTCCTCCTTCCTCCTTCCTTCCTCCTTCCTTCTTTCCTCCTTCCTTCCTCCTTCCTTCCTCCTTCCTTCCTTCCTTTCCTTCCTTCCTTCCTTCCTTCCTTCCTTCCTTCCTTCCTTCCTTCCTTCCTTCCTTCCTTCCTCCCTCCCTTCCTCCCTCCCTTCCTTCCTTCCTTCCTTCCTTCCTTCCTTCCTTCCTTCCTTCCTTCCTTCCTTCCATTTTCAGGTTTTCTTTTCTTTCTTTTCTTGTTTTTTTTTGTAATAGGGTCTCACCATGAAGCCCAGGCTGGTCTTAAAATCATGACCCTCCTGTCTCCATCACTTGAAGTGCTAGGAATAGCCTGGCTGCTCTTAATTCCTACCAATGGTTTTTATTACCATAGTAGCACTAACCTATTGTAGAAGAACAGGTAAGTCAAGAGAACAAATACTGGCTCGGTCAGTAGTATTTGCCTTGAAAGCGTGAGGACCTGAGTCTGATCCCCAGCACCCATGTAAATGCCAGTCACAGTGGCACATGTCTGTAATCCCAGTGCTGGGGAGGCAGAGACAAGAGACTCCTTGGGGCAGGCTAGCTAGCCTAGCCTACTTGGTGAACTCCAAGCCAATGAGAGACCCTGTCTCAAAGGAAATGAATAGCATATCTGAGGAACACCATCCAAGGTTGTCCTCTGGTCTCAACAAGCATGTGCACACATGTGCACCACACACAGGCATGCACACATACCACACACACAGACATGTAAAAAGAAAATATTTAGTAAAGTTTTTATATGCGTACTACCAGAACAACAATTTTTAAAATATTTTTATTTATTATTTTTATTTTACGTGTATGCACGTATTGCCTGCATGTAGGTAAGTGCACCCATGTCGTGCAATGACCACGGAGGACAGAAGAGGCCATCGGATCCTCTGGAAGTGGAGTTCCGGACAGTTATTAGCTGCCATGTGGGTGCTGGGATTCGAACCCGGGTCCTCTGCAAGAACAGCCAGTGTTCTTAACTGCTTAGCCATCTCTCCAGCCCCAGAACAACAATTTTTAAAAATTTTAAAGTCACCTTGTATAAGTTAGTAAAATTTAACTATGTTAATTTAATCCTAAGTATTATAATTCATGCTAATAACAAAAATATACATGATCCATATTTAACAATGCATTTGCCCCTAAATGCCATGATATCACTTAATGATGGTTTCCAAAGGAAAGCTTTCTCCTCTGATGAATTCTAAATGCCATATTTTTCAATCAGTTCTCTTGCTTTAGAGATATAGGCACTCATGGCTTCTTCCTTCGACAACCCTAGAAAGATACAAATAGATTATCTCACCAACTGGTGTTGTGGGAGCTGAAGAAGGTTTGTTTCTAACTTCATTTAAGAATTAAAAACCTCCTGGGTGTGGTGGCGCACACCTTTAATCCAAGGAGGCAGAGGCAAGTGGATCTCTGTGAGTTCAAGGCCAGCCTGGTCTACACGGTGAGTTCCAGGACAGCTGGGGCTACAGGGAGACCGTGTCTCAAAAAGCAAAAAGACCAAAAAAAAAAAAAAAAGAATGAAAAACCCAGCTGGAGAGATGGCTCAGCGGTTAAGAACACTGGCTATTCTTGCAGAAGACCTGGGTTTGAATCCCAGCACCCACATGGCAGCTAACAACTATTGGTAATTCCAGTCCTAGGGGATCTGACAGCCTCTTCTGTCCTCTATGGGCATTGCACGACACAGGTGTACTTACCTACATGCAGGCAATACACGCATACACATTAAAAAACATATATATAAAGAATTAAAAATCAGGACTGGAGAGACAGCTCAGTGGTTAAGAGCACTTGTTGCTCTTGCAGAGGATCTAGGTTCAGTTCCCAGCATCTACACGACAGATAACAACCATCTGAAATTCCAGTTCCAGGGAATCCAATGTTCTCTTCTAGATTTTGGGCATTGCATGCATGGGCGCACTTACATACATGCTGACAAAATACTCATACACATAAAATAAAAATAAATTTAAAAAAACTTTTAAAAGAATTAAATACCTTTTTGGAGGCTCCACGCTTCCCACTTGACCTTGCCTTTTAAATCTAACATTGCTGGGCATGCTGCAAAAAGGAGAGAGTTTCAAGTTTACTTTTCAGTGAGCACTTCTACAAACATTGTTCAAACAGGTACATTTAAATTTTAAAAATGATGATGTAATACCAATGTTGACATCCCCAATAATGGATTGTTTGTAAAGCCCATAGAGTTCTTTGAGTTCTTCATCCTCGGGCCTGATTTTCAGCTTCCTCACATCTTGTGTGGCCTTGTCAAAATCAGCCTAGGGCAAAAGAAAGCAAGAGGCACTTTGTGTGTTTGTTAAGGTTAAGCAGGCCTGTTATAACCGGGAATGTTTACCACAGGGTAATGGGAATTCAGAAGGAGGGACTCTGATTAGAAACTTGGTGTGCTTCCACCAGAACTATTTTAATTTGAACTCATATACACTTGTGCTTGTTAGTTTTAACTGTCAACCTGTCACAACCTAGAATCATCTGGGAAGAGAGTCTTACTGAGGAGGTAACTAAAACAGGTTGGCCTGTGGCATGTCTGTGGGGGACTGATTGTTGATTGATGTAGGAAGGCCCTACCCATTGTGGGCATCACCATTCCCTAGGCAGAGGGTCCTGAATGGTACGAGAAGGGAGAAAGTTAGCTGAGAGCAAGCAAGTAAGCAAGGATCCATGTATTTATTCTCCCTCTGCTCTTGATTGTGGATGTGACTCCCCTGTCATAGAATCAACCCAGAATTGTGGGCCAAATAAACCCTTTCTTCCCTAAGTTGTTTTGGTCAGGGTGTTTTATCAGAGCAACAGAAATGAAACTAGAGCACTACTTTAGTACTCTCTTGATATACAGACAAAATACAGAGAGGAAACTAAAATTGTTAATACTGAAAAGTTCAATGTATTTGTTAAAGGACATGACATTTGATGGAGCTTTCTGTGTTCCTTGGTAGGCCCTACCCGCCTCTTTACTCCACCACCAGCCCTTTCCAACTTTTTTTTTTTTTGATACAGGATTTCACTGTGTAGTCCTCCCTGACCTGAAACTATGTAGACCAAGCTGGCTTTGAATTCACAGAGATTCACCTGCCTCTGCCTCCCCTTCTGAGTGCTAGGATTAAAGGTGTGAGTTACCATAACCAGCAGTGTATTCAACTTTTTGACATTGCAGCACAACACTGTCATGTATAAAGTTCACCATCGATAATCATGCAATTGAGTTACAAAAAACGATAGCAAAATAAAATTTCATAATGTTTTAAGAACGTTTACAATTTTGTGTTGGGCCACATTCATAACTATCCTGGGGTACATACTGACCACAGGCTGTAGGTTGTACATGCATGCCAAAACCAAGGCTTCATGCTTGGCTAGCAGTTATCACCATGCCCAGAGCACCCTCCCTAGTGCCTGTGCCCACCTTCTTCAATAGCAGTAGTGTTTATTCCTGTTTCTTAGACTAGGTACTTTCTGAGGGCATCAATACTCCTGATTTGGATCAACTGCAGGTACTGTTTCCTTTCAACATGGAACCCAACATTTATAAGTTCTTATTTCATTTGATTTCCAGAAAACAGAAGTCATTTAGCTCACTTTGGGCTGATTAGCAAAACTTTGTGTATGAATGGATTTGGACGGGGAACCTTGCCTGACCCATTCTGAAGGAATTTTGATGACCTAGTCCTTCTGCTGGTTGCTAAAATTCCTTCTGGCAGAGGGAGATGTAAAGGAGGTGCACCTCCTTCTCCCAAGGCCCCAACAACAAACCAAGGTAAAGTTCCACCAAAGTGCATTTACAGGAACCAATGAATTTATTGGACTGTCTTACAGAGCAATGGGTGAGGGGTTACTCACAGGAGTGTGGTGCTCCCCTCCCCCAAAGCCAGAAAGTCCTCCCCTGAGCATGGAGGATGGCCTCTCCTTATAGCCTCATAGAGAGCCTACCTCCCTTAGTCTTCCTTATCCTATATATACTAGCCTTTCCCCCGAGATCACATGCAGTTAGGGCCGAATTGCCCACCTGTCCCTGTCTCCCCAGTGCTGGGATTACAAATGTACACAATCATGCTTTTTTTTTTTTTCTACATGGGCTTGAGGTCCTGTGTGAAAAGCACTTTTACTGACCAAGCTATCTCCCAGCACTTAAATGTGTTTCTTAATAAACTGCGACTTAGTCTTGTGTTGAATCAGCCTGAAATCCTTTTCTATGGTGAGGTAAAAAATCTTGGCTTCACCTGAGCGGGGTCTCCAAAGGAAGTGCTTGGGCTGCTACAACTGGTGAGTGTGGTGCTTTGTCTCCTGTTCCCATTGCCACTGCAAGTCGAAAATTCTACACCTGCCAGGATGTGTACAATCAAGACACATGCATGCAGTTAAAAAACATCCTATAAAATTACCTTCAGGCTGTGTGTCACTGTATATGAAACATATATCAATACATCAACATTGTGTTTAGACTTGGAGTCTATCCTAAGCTCATTACACATAGGCAAATGTTCCAAATTCTGAAGATGTCTAAAATCTGAAATACTTTTGGTCCCAAACATTTTGGAGAAGGGATGCTCAACTCTAGTATCAGTATCAGGAGGCAGGCAATAAGATAAAATATGACTAGGAATATACATATTCTTTATTTGTTCTATGGACTCTGACTGGGCCCCTGTCCCAGCTCACCCAGGGCACTGTATGAGCTCCCAGTGTATGATATGTCTGTGATGGGCCAGATCTGCACTGGTCAGACAAGAATGAACAGGAAGTCTGGTCACAGAAATTCAGAGTCCAGAGGGAGATGAGCAAGTCAAAGAACTGCTGTGAAAGGGGAGCAGTTGTTGGTCTGGAAACAGGTGGAAAGGGTAGCAAGAGGGGAAGCTGTGGAAGAGACCTTCCCCAGGGATGAGCTGGTGCTTGCACTGAATCTTAGGTGGAGAGTATGCAGGTATAATGGGGGCACAAGAGGCTGGAGAAGCTGCTCTTGACAACCTATGACAGAATTCACTAGTGAACTGTATTGCTTCATTCCCCCAGGTGTCCATTATAAAGTACAGGCAGAACTAAGCACCTCAATAGCTACTGCCAAGCCTTCTGTCCACTGGTCCATGGGAGAACCTGTGGTCAGAGGCCACTAGGTACATCCTTGCTGGATGGACTTATGAGTGGGTGGAGCAGAAAGTTATCACAGTTAAAGCATCTTTAAATGTACAGTTGTTGACACTGAGCTCCAAAGCATTCTGAGCAAAGGGAATGGCAGCTTCCCCATACTCCTGAGCTCTGGGAGCTGGGCTGCTGTGCTAGGGAGGCACTGCCTCTGTTAGGTGATTTCTCAGCATCTGAATTGGATGTTTGCACCCAGGATCTTCCCCTCACCTGCACATGGATGCTGGAAAGCAAAATGCTTTAACTGTACTAAGGCCCCTCTTGCCTTCTCTCTTGTTCCATGCTTGTGCTTCAAGGACCCCTGGCCCCACCCATCATGTAACAGAGATGACAGTCACATGTGGAGCACTGAGTGCCATCTCAACAACCAGTGGGGCCACTGGACATTTCTATTCCCATCTCATTCCTCTGAAGACAGCCTCCGAAGGTGACTCACAGTTTATCTTACTTCACACAGTCATCTCACATAAGACTTTGATAAAGCCTTTTTGAGTAATTTTTTCCAAGTGAGAGATTGAATTAGGAAGATAAATTTCCCAGTAGAGGTACTGCATGTATTTGAAACACACAAATGTGTGTGTCCCAACTGTAAAATTACGAAGTCCTCCCCCCTTTTTGTGGTGTTGTGGGCTCAAACCCAGGGCCTCATACAAGTACTCTACCATTGAGCCCAGAAAAGATACATTGTCAGGCCGGTGTGAAGATGCACACCTGTAATCCCAGCACTAGAGAAGCTGAGGCAGGAGAATCGTCCTGAGTTAGAGGTCGGTCTCAGCTATAGCAAGACTATCACAAAAAATCAACCCAAAGTCCCATTTTTCATTTTTAAATGAAATTGGGAGATTATAACTGAATGAGGAATTCCACCCATGCTGTCACTTCCAGGACAGCGTGCCGACAGATAGAGGCCCTCACTGTCATTTCCAGTACTGAGCCACTGACAGCATCCAGGAGGAACCTAAGCAGCCATGGAATGTCTATCCTAATGCCGCTTCTCCTATAGACAGAAGGGGTTTGAATGTGTTGCCTAGCCATGAGTTATTAGCTTTTAAATATATTTTTAGTTTTTATTAGAATTAAAAAATTTTAAATCATTTTAGATCCAGATGCAAGTTATAAAAACAGGACACATTATGCAAGTGTATATGTGTACATAATATGCATCTATCTGCATGTGTGCAACATATATGTATTGTGCATGTGTGTATGTGTTACAGATATATGCTCCTATGTATGTGCACATGTATAAAAAATCAACATCAGGAACTTTCAGAATACCCCCATGAAAATTCTAGAAAACAAAGTATTTTAATTGCATGTTTTGTATTTTATGCAAGTGTAAATAAATGATAGTTACTTGCTTGTCATGATTTTACTTAGTTTCTCTTAGACAAGTTTGCCAAAGACTAAGGAAGCAGAGCTGGTGTCTGTGTTTTCAGGTATTTTTCAGTTTCTGTACTTATATTGTTGTACATGTATGTGTATACTCTTGAACAGTATTCTTTATGCATGCATATCTCTCTCATGTTATATTTATTCATTTAAAGAAATTTCTGTTCACTGTGTTATATATAATGTTTGTTTTTTTAATGGTGAAAATAAGTTGATGCAATATTATGAGGAGCTATGACACGAGATTTTAACGATGAAATGAAAATCATTGCTTTTTAGCTTGCTGTTGGTCTTTGTAATTATCCTTGATTAATTCTACCATATAACATCACAGCAGTACTATGTAAAACTCCTCATTGCCTGCCAGAATGACATAATACCCAAGGAGAATTGACCTAATTTAAAGTTCAAATGTTTACAATCAAAGTAACCAATGAAAGGTGATTAGATATTAATAATTGAAGAGAATTCTGACTGTTCTGATCATTAATTCAAAATTTTCTCACAAAGGATTTCTGACCATAATCATGTATTATAAATATTTTAGATAAATTAAAATATCCATCAATAAAAATATTTGCTATGCTAACCTAATATAGCATCTTCCTGAAACTTTTGAATATAAATATTAGTAAATTATATAATTACTCCCTCTTCGTGAATGTCAGACTTGCATAATACATACATTTAGAAATAAAGGTTAAAAAAACAAAAATAAAAACAGGACACATTCAGTGTACCATGTACTAGGCTATAATCTTTTAATTTTAATTTCATACCTCCAATTCACTCAGTGTGCAAAAGGAGTGTCAATAGAGAACCTTAAAGTGTGTGTGTCTGTGTGTGTGTGTGTGTGTGTGTGTATGAGTGTGTGTACTAGGGTTTGGCTATATTGTCCAGGCTGACCTTGAACACCTCTTATGAAGTGATCCTCCTGCATCCTTTCTTCTACTGCTGAAGACTGAATCCAGGGACTACTGCATGCATGGGGGTGGGGGTGGGGCAAGAGTCGAGAACTTGCTGTGTCACTTAATCTTGCCTGAAGAAATAAAGAAGTTGGTATACTTGGACTGGAGAGATGGCTCAGCCATTAAGACCACTGGCTGCTCTTCCAGAGGACCCAGGTTCAAATCCCAGCACCCACATGACAGCTAACAACCGTCCATAACTCCAGTTCCAGGGGATCTGACGCCTTCCTCTGACCACCATGGGCATTGCACAACACAGATGCACTTACATACATGTAGACAGTACACTCATACACATAAAATAAAAATAATAAAATGAAAAAATAAGTTTGCTACACTCATACCACAAAATTTTATGCATTATAAATTTGTGTCTTAGAAGTTGATTTAATGAGAAAATGCTAAAAATAAATGTGTTAAGTACAAAAGCAAATAATATATTGTGAGTCTCTCTCTCTCTCTCTCTCTCTCTCTCTCTCTCTCTCTCTCTCAAAAGACATACGGGGGACTGGAGAGTTTCAGCGGTTAAGAGCACTGACTGCTCTTGCAGAGGACCAGGGTTTGATTCCCGGCACCCACATGGTGACTGTACTGACTGCTCTTGCAGAGGACCAGGGTTTGATTCCCAGCACCCACATGGTGACTGTGAACCGTTCTTAACTCCAGTTCCAGGGACTCCGAAGCCCTCTTCTGACCTCCGCGGCATTGAACGACACGGGTGCACTCACATACATGCAGGCAATACACTTGTACACATAAAAAAAAAAAAATAAAAATAATAAGCAAATTTTTTAAAAGACCTACAGGAAGTAACCTATCATGTCAACAGTGGTTATCGCCTAGAAGAAGGAATTCCTGGATTTTGTTTAGGTGTGTTCTCTTTCCAAAAGTTTCCACTTCTCTTAGTCAAACAATAAAGTTAGAGGTTCATCAAATAGCCCTGTTATTCAGAAAAACACTTGCCTATGAGAACCTTTGGCAGTCCCAAGAACAAGGACGCGCAGATGGATGTCACCTCTGTCTCTAAGTTGGAAACAGGGCCCCCAGGAGGTTGAGTCTACGTTTCACCTCTGGGTAATTTAAACCAGTCCCTTGGACCTAGGACCAGTCCTAGTTGCCATAGGGAGCCTAGATCCTCGTCAACAGACGGTCACCGTGCAGTCTACTGTGTAATAAAGAGAAGCTGGGGCAGGTGGGGGAGTGCCTGCATAGGACTGCAGAGCGCTCTGGGGACCCGCGCCTGCTTCGGGGCTGTCACACTTGCTCTCCCCGCATCACAGCGCATCCTTCTGGGAGCATCCCTTCCTCGTGGCCGCCCCAGACCTGGCTTACCTGCAGAGACATGGTCGGATCCTGGGAATCTGCAGCTCTCTGGGCACTGGAACCCCTCCACTCTTTCTGTTGCCACTAACAGGGCAGCGCTCCTCCTCTGGCCGCTCCTATTGGCTGTACGGAGGGTATGGACGGCTACCATTGGCCAAGGGCGAGGGAGGGCGGAGCTGGACGATGGGCGGTGCCAGCCGGGTCCTAGAGACCCTGCGGCGGCTTCAGTGCCTAGGTGTGGAAAATTTCTTGTCTGCTCCTGGCTCACATTTTTCCCCCCTCAAGAGATTGTTTGAATGAAGCCCAAAGAGGTCTCGGGCCTCACCCGGGAATCCCTGAAGCACCTCTCTGCGATTCTAGAAACCTGGGTGGGTGGTGCTCACTGTCCACCTCTCAGTTTCCCCGATCACCCTAGCTCTCTCTAGACGCCGCCGATCAGGAGTGAAGGGACATGGGATGCGAGCTTTGTCTTTAGAAAGCAAAAAACACCTAAATTCTAAACGCAGGCTACACTCATATCCCTTTACATTTAATTATAGTAAAGACGGCAGCGGGGGCAGTGTGACCCAGTTCTCCCTGGGGACAAAATTACTGTCCCCTGGAGTCTGCAAGACCTTGGGATGGGGTTGTGAATCCCATTTCCAGAGAGCTGGAAAGAGATCGCCTGGTCACAAGAGGAATTCGTTTTTGATGCTCATTAAATAACAGTTTTCATGGAGAGAAGGGATGGGAATGAACGCAGAGCAATGCAACCTGCCGCCAAGAAGGACCTCGATCTAGCTTGGTTTTGCATAAAACTATTATTTTAGAAAATATTTGCTACATTTTCATGTGAATCTCATTTTCCTTCCTTTTTGAAAATACGTTTATGGTGAAATGAGTTTTTTGTGATATTAAGGAATTTTCAACTAAAGGACAAAAAATTTTAGAGGAATAGCCTGAGCAGTGTGTGTGTGTGTGTGTGTGTGTGTGTGTGTGTGTGTGTATGTGTGTGTGTCTGTCTGTCTGTCTGTCTGTCTTTCTGCCTATGTCCAGGTGATGGGAAGTGCACAGTGGGCTCAAGGGCAGATATCAGCTTCAGCAGAGCAGGAGCTTTCTGTTAACCCAGAGGTGGCTTCTGGGGAGTGTCCTTCGTGTCCTCAGCTGAGATCCTTGGACATTATAGTCATTATAAGAAACCAGGAGATGGAAGCTACTCTGTACTCGGTTTGATTCTGGAAGTCTAGAATGTTTATTGAGTAGTTAATTAATTTTTAAGACAGGGGCTCATGTATCCCAGGTTGGCCTTGAATTCACTCTAGCCCAGGCTGTATTTCATCTCATGATCCTGCTGCCTCAGCCTCCCATGTACTGGGATGGTCCATGCACAGAATGCAGTTTTAAGATTTCTTTTCTGAATTGCTGCCCCCCACCATCCAGATGCCAGAGCCCTGGAAGATTCTCCAGGGGTGTCACTTATCCATTTCTCAGGTTTCCTATTTCTTTTCCCCTCCCAATTCACCTTTGTACACAGCAGTTGCTGTGTAAGTCTATAGCACTGTGTGAAGTTCAGAGCTGGTTCCTCAACACATCAGAAACACACAGTAACACAATATCTAACCTCAGGGACTAGGGATACTAACCTGTGGGATTCAGGGTGCACAGTGCTGGCATCATGACATAATGTTGATGCTGGTTTTACTGTCATGTGAGTATAATACATATTCTGAGTCTCATTGGCACTTTTCTCCTTCCTGGTCTGTCTGTGGCAGGGAAGTACCACCATCATGCTGTTGCCTGGGAATGGCCTGAGTGCTCAAAACCTCCCGTTCGCATTGCCACCATAGACTCAGATGTTCTTTGGTGTGTCCTATAGACCTACCAATAACATAGACTCCAAGTCTGTTCTCTGATTTCACAGCTCATCACTGAACTCTATTCTGAGTAGCTGATTTTTAAATTGGTTGAGCTGATTATATGAAAATGTAATGAAATGCATTTTGGATGATTACACATGAGTAAAAAACTAAAAATTAAAATGATTGCTATGTAACAATAAACTCTGTTGACCATCAAACACACACAATAACAAGAACACACAAATGCAGAGCAAAAGTCAGAATTCCACAGAGGGAAAAGAGTCTGCTGTTCAGTTCTTTTATATTTTTCTATCAACAAACTTTCTTGTCAATTATCATTGTGTCATTATGCAACTTATCATCTAGAGTCCTAAACTCTTGCTATGTCATGAAAGCCTATAATCTAACAGCTCAATTCTATAATTAATATAAAAATAAATCTCTTATCAACTTTATAAATTATTCAAAGATTTTAGAAGTTATTCAAAGACCTAACACATTTTATAGGATAAAATAACAGCTATTGTTGAAAAGTAAAATTGATCCCTCAGTAGAAAGTAACAGATGTATAATAATTAAAGAAATTATTGGAAGCCTATGTTTGACATGCCAGAAAATGTTTTGTAGAAAGAACACAAAATTGAATTATTCCTTTTATCACAGATAAAATAGATATTTGAAATAAATTAGTGGATAACTCAGAATAGAAATGTGTTTATAAGTGATTGGGTCACATAACATTATTTTTTAAAACTTAAAACTTTTTTGTTGCTCTCTGGCCGGCCAGCCTCTTTCCTGGACGCCTGGGCTGACGTTTCCTATTCCTGATCCTTTGCATCAAGACCAACCCAGGTCCTCAGTGCAGTCCCCAGGGGCCCTTGGCGCCGCTTCCTGCCCCGACATCCTTTGTATCTCTGGGTGAAACAGCCACCAGCTGCCCTAGACCAGCATCTTTCCTGGGCCTGGCTTCCAGGCCAGTCCAACCCCCAAATTCCTGAGGCCAAAATCTTTCCTGCCTGGAGGGATCCAGACCTTAGGCGAAAGCCTGAGAGCATCTGATCTTCATCTGATTTGGGCCTCTGTGGGAACTCCTGAAGACAAAAGCAATCTGGCCACTCCAATATAAAATCAAAAGAGAGAACCAGAAGCTTAGAGGAACCAGCTTCTCATGCCCAAAAAGTAAACCACAAAGACACATAAAGTTCACAAAAAAGAAGCAGACCTAAACTTGAAGCGCTGAGTCTCACAAAAGAATTAGAAACTACAAAAGAAATCCACATGTCAAAATCACAGCAGAAACATTACATGAAAAACCCAATGATATACCCCTACCAACTACCAGTGATCCTGTAGAGGAGTACATTGAGAATTCCCTGGATATAACACAGATCATGGAATTCAAAAGAAGAATTATACACATGTTTAAAGAATTCTGTGAACTTACAGACACACAAAGAAATGAAAGAACTGAAAGAAGATAGGAATAAACTTCTGAATGCATTCATAAGAATTAGAAATATTGAAGAATACTCAGGCCGAAATGAAAAAGGAAGTGAAACACTCAGTAAGCCAATTAGAAACAACAGGAGAAAGCCTCACCAATAGGATGAATGAAATGGAAAACAGAGTATCAAGATTGGAAGAGAAAGTGGGTGAACTAGACCACTCAAGCAAAGGAAAATTTAAGAAATCACAAGAATGGAATATGCAGGAATTGTGTGAAACCATAAAACGTTCAAACTTATGAACCATAGGCATACAGGAAGGAGAAGAATCCCAAGATAATGGCATGGACCAGGTCTTCAACAGAATCATGGAAGAAAATTTCCCAAAATTAAAGAAAGACATACCCATACAAATACAAGAAGCATATAGAATACCAAACAGACAGGACCAGAAAAGAAACTCTCCACGGCGTATCATAGTAAAAACACTAAACGAACAAAATAAAGAGACAATACTGAAAGCTACAAAAGAGAAATAAGTCACATATAAAGGAAAACCCATTAGGATTACAGCTGACTTTTCAGTGCAAACTATGAAAGCCAGAAGAGCCTGGACCAAAGCATTCCCAGTTTTAAATGACCACAGATGCCAACCCAGATTACTATACCCAGCCAAAATGTCTATTACAGTTGAAGGGGAAAGAAAAATCTTCGATGACATAAATAGGCTGAAGGAATTCATGTACACAAAACCAGCCCTTCAGAGAGTTCTGTAAGCAATACAAAGAGAAGAAAGGAATGACTACACAAGGGGTTGCGGAAAGAAATTCAATGAAGGTATAACTGGAAAAGTACAGCTATATCACGAATGTAAACAGGAATAAAAATGACAGGATTCAATTCTCATCTTTCATTAATAACTTTAAAAACTAACAGACTGAACTCCCCACTCAAAAGACACATACAAGGTGAATGGATTGAAAAACAAAACCCATCTTTTTGTTGTCTGCAAGAAACTCATCTCACTTTCAAGGACAGACACTATCTCAAAGTGAAAGGATGGGAAAAAAATATATCAAGAAAAAGATACAAAGAAAAAAGCAGGTGTAACAATTCTAATATCTGACAAATTAGACTTTAAACTAAGATAAACTAAGAAGGGATAAAGAGGGCCACTTCATTCTGATCAAAGGAACAATAAATCAAGAAGCTATTACAATCATGAATATATATTCACCACACTCTGGTGTTCCCAACTTCATAAAACAATACTACAGGACTTTAAGACCCAAATTAACCCCAACTCATTAATAGTAGGGGACTTCAATACCCCACTGTCTCCATTACATAGGTCAAAAGGGCAGAGAGTTAACAGAGAGACATCTGAATTAAACAATACCATATATCAAATGGACCTAACAGACATCTACTGAGTATTCCACCCAAGCACCAAAGGACATACTTTCTACTCAGCACCCCATGGAACCTTCTCTTAAATCGACATTATACTGGGGCACAAAACAAACCTCAACAAATAAAAAAGATTGAAATAATTCCATGCATTCTATCAGACCACAATGCAATAAAGCTTACAATCAACAC